ACTATTTTTTTATTTTTTGTTTTTTTGCTTCTGCCGATTTTTATGTTTTGAGATCTGCAAGGGAGAGTTTTTTTTTTTTTTATAACTGTTATAAATAATTTTTATAAGTATCTATTATTTATATATTATTAGTTAATAAAATACTATTTGTAATTTTTTTAGAGTATTTTATATTCTTTTTCAAAACTTTCATTATATGTCTTTTTACTAAATTAGCAGAAAGAACTAATAAAAACATATATAAATTAAATATTATATAATAATAAATAATTATAACATATATACTAATAGTATATCTTTGCTTAAAGTTCAAAATATATAATTATTACTTTAAGTTTATAGTTTTTAATAAGATAAAATGACTAATTATATATAATAATCTATTGTTTAATTATATTATTAAGTTTTTTTTGATTAAACTTTTTATAAAGACTAATTTGCTAGTTTTTTTTAATATATTTAAAACAAAAATATATTTTTTTTATTATTTAGATCTGGTACTTTATTTATATAAATACAAAGCTTAAGATGTTTTCTAAGATTTAAGGTTAAATCATCTGCATATTTTAATAAAATTTTATAAATATTATATTTGACAAAAAATTCTAGTTTTTTAAAATAATTCTATATATCTACTTATTATTTATAGTAGTAGTAGAATCTAAACTTATAACAAATGATATTTTAGTTTTATTTGGTATATTTATTTTATTATTAGATTCAAATAATAGTAATAATAATAAAAATAAGATTAGTTGGATTAATAAAATTGACAAAATTAATATAACATCTTTTATAAAAATAAATTTTAATTTTTTTTAAGTTTAAATATTATGAATCTAATTTATTTACTTATTTTACTTATATAAAAATACTAATAATTAGAGTTTTACAATTTGATTTGATCAAATATTTGAGTTCAAATCTAAAATTTTTAAATTAAATCAAATTTAAATATAACTAAATTTGATTTGATAAATATTTGATTTGATTTAAAAATTTACAATTAAATATTCAAAATTATAAGTAATTTATTTAAAATTTTATTAAGACAATTAACTTTTTCATTTTATAAAATTAAAATTAATTTTATTTAAATAAAATTTTTTTTTGAATATTAAATTAGTTTCTTTCAAGACTAGGGCTTTATTTAATAAATTAGAACATAGAGATTTGTGGCTGAAGTCTCAAAAAAGTCATCTTATATTAGAAAATATATCTAACTACATATATACTTTTGGTGTCTATTTTAAGTAGTCCACTAATAGTTCTATACTAGTTATCATATCTGCAATCCAACTATAGGTATTGCTTATTTAAACTCTTTGTACTGTAATCTCTACTGTGTCACTAGACCATCTCTAATACAAATGTTAGTCAAGAAGGTCTAGATACTTTTACTCATACCTTTAGAATCTTATATCTTATTTTATGTAGTGTATTTTTAGAAGCATTGTTACTAGAATCTTCTGTGTCCCATATACAGCTGATCTAGTTTTATGTAACATGCTATAGTTACCTAACACTTGTAATTATAGAAGTTACCTGTTTAACTACTATGTTATACTATTTCTATCTTTATAAAGTTTATTCAAACCCCAATATCTATTTTTTTAACATCTTCTCTTCATTCTTCTACTATCCAACTCAGAATCCAACAAACTTTCTAGACTCTTAATCCAGATAGCCTAGTGTGATATACCTTAGTATTATTTTTTTTTGGCAATTCTGATAGTCTGATTGATTATATGCTTCTTTATACATCTTTTCATCTGGTTACATCTGCCTATTTCTTATTAGTGTTTTCTGAACTTTCATTAATCCAATAGCATCATCAAATATTTGTATTATCTCTTTACTTAGAAATTTCTAAATGGGTTTCTGTCTTTTTAGTTTCTTGGTCTTCTACATTTAATGATTTTATTATAGATTTGTACCAAAGTTTTATGCAATATTAGTTATTAATATTCCTCTATATATGTGTAATGTTCTACTTTGTATAAATTTCCTAGGCTTCTAATAATAAGTAGAACTTGATTGGTTGTATTCAAGATTACAGATATCTAAATTTAACTAGTTGACAAAAGACAGTTTTTTGTAATACAGATTAATTTTCAAATTTCATTATAAATAAGATTTGAATTTTAGACTTGCCACTTGAAGAATAACAATCCAACCACTACATGAGAATCACTATCCTTTAAATAAACATTTTTATTTAAAAACTCAAAATCAATTAACTTATTAAAAATCAAGTTTTTTCTTTATTGATTAAAATTTTAAATTTTTTTAAAAATCAAATCAAATTTAAATATTTAATTCAAATATTTGATCAAATTTTTTTTTTTTTTTTTTTTTATAATGTCAATCGTAATACTTTATTTAATTAATACCAAATTAATACATTTGAGTTATTACATTTCATTTGTGCTACTATATTACTATATAGACACCCAATGTAACATTATATCTACACTTTCCTAAATTAAGACTAGTAGTATAGTGTTTCAACTATTGTTACTAATTAAGATAAAGTTGTAACCACCTTGTAATACTATATTCCCTAATTCTATCTAACCATAGTCCTCCTATCTACTTCCTACAGTAACCCATCCCTTCTCCCAAATTGATTGACTTTGACGGTTTCTTGCTCTTCTTGCTACCAATTTGGTGTACACAACTCTCCATGTATTGGTACCAATCGACACAGCTAGATTTATCGAGATTCTGGATTATCATCTGCAGCTACCACGTACCCTTTTTTGTATACTCCTATAGTTGTAATACTATTGTACTTCCAATTTGGTATTACAAGAAGACCTGGAACCTTGACTTATTACGTACGAGTATGGTAACCATCAACGATGTTGTGATGTATGACTATGGTTTTGCTTCTTAAGGGTTTATAGTACTTGCCTAAGATGTTCCAATTTTGGTTAAACTAATTCTTTGTCACAGATTTTCTTTGCATGCACCACTTTGCTCATCACTCCAGTTTAACTACATTAGTATTACCCTTCCAATCAAGTCTCTGCAAGTTGGATACAAAGATGTTGGTGCTACCTTGTCTTGATAGGACTTATCTGCACAACACTTTTTAGTAGTAGAACCTTCTGTAACACTACTGTTACACATAATGCCTTTTCTCTGCAAAATCGATCTTCTTCCAGAAATTCCTAATTCATCTTTGTACTTCACCTTGGGACTTACCACAAAGCTTCGTATTTAATTTGGCTCCTATATTAGGTTACAAAGTTAAAATCCTTAAATTTTGTCTCTAGCCCGACTTGAACCATTGACCTCATCTGTGGGAAATTGGCAACTTAACAATTAAGCTATGGAGCCCAACCCCTAATATTTGATCAAATTAAATCAAATCAAGAGTATATTTTGATTTGATCAAATTCAAATTAATCCAATATTTGATTTGATTTGGATTTGAAAAACAAACCACTTTTTACTAAGTGTGGAAATTTTATTTTACAAGAAAAAAAAAAGTAACAGCCACTTGAACAATGTGCTAAACAATTTTATATACTGGGTATACAATTTTTTTTTTGTTCAAGAGTTTTTTTTTTAAGTTATGCAAATATGCGGGTCCGGGTATTACCCGTTCTGGCATGGATCGAGACCCGGAACCGAAATTATTCTAAAAATGATGGTCCCGGAACCGAACCGGGGTCGGTTCCGGGTAGATTCCGGTTCTTCGGGTCGGTTCTGCGGAACACTATCCAAATTATCGGTTAGAATTTTTTTAAATTTAACGTTATAAGTGTTTAAGGCTACTATGTTTTTACTTTTTTTTTTTATCCAATCAGAATTAGTATATAATGTATCAAAAAGTATTTGTATATACCTCAAATTTGGCGCATTTGATGCGAAGCGACTTGAATTATCCGACAAAGGTAGAATCACCACCAAAAAAAGTTTCAAGTAAAATTTCGTTTTTTTGAGTTAGGGCTAGGATTTTGCCATTAGATTGGTGTCTAACATTATTCACTATATCAAAATTTTACAAGGAAACTTTTAATTAATGCGTAGAAGACAGTTTCATAGACGAAATTTTGGGTTATAAGTGTTTTTTTTGACAAAACGAACATTTGTTTTGAATTTTTCTATTCGTGTCACGTAACACCTGATCTTGAGATTTGATTGGTCTTGAATCAACTCTATTTAAATCTACGTTTATAAAAAACATTAAATTGGACCAATTTATAGAGTTCAAAGCATCTAGTCCATTAACGTTAACCAAAATTGCACTTTAGTGTTTTGTGTTCTGATGTATCAAACCGATTCAAGCTCATTTAAACTTGGCCTAAATCCTGTTTTAAAAAGTGCATATTTTATAAGCAAAAACAGTCAAGATGTTCAAATTCCTCTTGATGGTATTTATCAAGCCTCTTCCAAAATCTATAACCTAATGAAAATCAAAAAATATTCTACTTCAAATTGGAAAAAACACGACCTTCACCCGAAAACAACTGATGAAAAAACAATTGATTGGATATTTTTAGTCGACTTGTTAAATTTTAGTTTCTGGTCTGATTTGGACAAAGCTACTGACACTTCAAATAACCAAAAATTTAGTATAACCTTTAAAAACCATCAATATACGGGTTATTGGGCATTGTGCGCGGCAATCAATCGTTCAATCGAAGAAGGAACTCCAATCACAACCCCGTCATTATACGCCTCGGAAAATGTCTTATCAGATCAAGCCATACATCACATATTTCGTTCATCATTACCAAACACTCAAATACCATTATTAAAAGAACGAATTAGGTGCATTCGTGAAGCTGGAAAAGTATTAACTACAAAGTTTGATGGAAGTTTTATTAATTGCATCAAAGTGTCAAATAAATCTTGCTTAAATCTATTGAAAATTATCATTGATAATTTTCCATGTTTTAGAGACGAAATAATGTTCCTTGGTGAAAGAGTGTGTTTTTATAAAAGGGCACAGATATTAATCGCAGATATTTGGGCATGTTTTGAAGGCAAGGGGTACGGAGAGTTTAAAGACATTGATGAGATTACAATGTTTGCAGATTATAGAGTTCCTCAGGCGCTACATTATTTGAGTGCTATAAAATATTCTGATAATTTGATGAAGACGTTGGAGCGATGTGAGTTGTTAGAGTATGGGTCTAGGTTAGAAGTTGAGATTCGGGGATGCAGTATTTGGGCTGTGGAACTTTTGAAAAGAGAGATTATGCGGATGATTGAGCAAGAGAATGAGCAAAATGTTTTACCGGTAGTGAATGCAATAATTTTAGATTTTTTTATTTGGGATTTTGCGAAGGAACATATTAATGAATTGGAAGTTGAATTTCATCGAACGCGTAGTATTTATTATTGAAAAATATGCCAAACAATATCACAATTATTATAATATCTCACGTTCTTCTAAAAATAATACGATTAGTACTTTTAAATTTAATTATTCCAAAACGAAGCGATTTTAGGATCAATTCAATCTTGATTCAAACTTGATTTGAACCAAGATTTGGATTTTGACTTTGAATCAAAAATTCGGATTTGATCATGATTTTGATTGGAATTTTAAAAATTTTGAAATAAAAAATTACATAGTGGCTCTCGATATAACGGAGGCCATGGTTCCAGTCCTTTGCTCGTTATATCAAAAGCTCCATAATATCAAAATTTCATAATTTATGAATATTATAATTTGGTTCCATTATAATTCCCTGTACTAAGCAATATTCGTTATATCGATGGTCTGTTATATCAAGAGCCACTGTATATTAAAAAATTTTTTTTTACTACGTTAATTGATTTTGAGTTTTAAATAATTTTTTTTTAATTAAAATGTCTAATTTCATAAGATAAAGTATTGAATTGCAAATTTTGTAACATGGTAATCAAAACAAATTCACAAACGAAAAAATTAAATCCCTGCTTGGTTAGGATAAGGGGCAGTGTAGAGGCCTGCGTTGGGTCCCGCAGCCCGGCCCGGCCGGGCCTGAAGCAAAATTTTATAATTGCGGGCCGGGCCGG